CTTCGAACCTTATGCTCCAAACGGAGCGAAAGAAGAAAACCATGTTTGATCAAAAATGGAAACAAATTATGATGTGAAACTTCCTGAAAATTTTGTGATTAAACTGGGCCATAATTTGGATTATTAAAATAATATTTTAAATAAGATGATAGTCATAATTTATATATCGAGTATATTACCGCACTATGATCATTTTGACGCTGGTTAAACAAGAAGGACGGTAGGTATTTAAAAGAACGCTCACACCAACACTTACACGTTTGTGAATATGTCAAAAGAAATCGCAGGTGGATGTATTTTTTCTTTGTATATATATACGTTAAAGATTTTCTTTTCTTTTTCACCATAGCATTATTCTCATACATAAATTAATTTAGGTTATTATACGGTAAAGTAAACGGACTCAAAACAACATAGATTATTTCTTTGTTCTTTTCTTGTATTCTTAATCTGTAGCTTACTGTTAATCTAACATTAATTTCCCTCGTTTTTTGTTGTTGTTTTCTCTCTCTCTGTCTCCAGCAAGGTGGGATGAGATAAAAACTGATGTTACTTGGATGTTCTAATCTTATAAACAAATATCTATCATGCTTAATAATATTTCATTTGCAGTGCAATAAACGTAGTTTTTCAAAGACACTTTCCTCATATTTAAATGTATTTGGTCAAATAATGTTAAGATAAAGTACTCTGGAATAAACTCCTCAGTGATGAAGATTATATACCTCTCTTCACCCTCAAAATATAAAGGTACCCATCCTCCATCCCCAAATGGGTAATGCTTCACATGAGTGGTGATAATGGGACGTCTAGTGAGAAAGCTTGATATAAAAAAAAAAGTTGAAATTACGGACGATGACATAAAAAGAGAAAAGAAACCATGATGTTAGCACAGATATTTTCTGTTTGGAAGTAAAGTTTGTACTGTTAACTAACAAAGTTGTTTTTGGTGGAGAAGTTTATTCAGTGGGTAATGCAGCATTTCAGGGGTGTTTTTACATCTACTTAAGTCATCATGGAGCACAGATTCCTGAGGTATAACGTCTTCAGAAAGTACTTTGTCGAGTCTATAATCTCATTCACATAAGGTACTGGGAATGGCTTTAGTGCCACCTAATGGCTACAATGTCACTCAGATGGGATTGAATTGGCCATTACCTAGCGCAGTTTCTAAATTACGGGACTTAATATTCGCAAAGAGCGAAATCTTGCAATGAATACTTAGCTTAACTCCGCAGGTCTAACAAAGACCAATACGCCACTGGCTAAATAGAAGTCCGCCAACTAAAGAAAGTGGACATTAGCAAACCATATTCTAAGCGTCAGGTGAATGTCTACGCACAGCATAAATAGTAGGCTTTTCCTGGATAGCAAAGATAAGATTGAGAAAAACAAGACTGCAACTGCGTGTTAAGAAAATGCTCGATACATATATCAGAGTGTGAAAGAACTAGAAACTATTATGACTACGATTAAGCAAAGATATTGAAGCAACGACAAAAATGACATTAATAGCGGAGACTGAAAAGAAATTACAACCTTTACTTTCAGAACTATGATATCAAATAATAATACCATTCGATAACTTTTAGATATATTTTGTTCGGTTTCTATGGAATACAAGCGTGTTTTGTGTACTACAGTAAGGCACAACTAGCCATGTCATATACTTTCAACATATATTAACATTAAATATCTATTATGATTTAATTTTCTATTTAGATCTTCTTCTTCTTCTTTTAGCTTTTTCCCGTATCTATACGGAGTCGCTATTTTTGGTGTTGGCAGGGTTTTTTACGGCCGGATGCTCTTCCTGACGCCAACCATTCCCTAATTTAGCAGTGTAAGACTAGAGGGAAGGCAGCTAGTCATCACCACCCACCGCCAACTCTTTTTACCAACGAATAGTGGGATTGACCGTCACATAATAACGCCCCCACGGCTAAAAGGGGCGAGCATGTTTGGTGGGACGGGGGGTGCGAACCCGCGACCCGTAGATTGCGAGGCCTAGCGTCCTACCCACCTGGCCATGCCGGGCACCCTTAATTTTTATTTAGATACGAGTCTAATTTTGGTTTACTCCATGTTCAAAGACTGTAACATTAGATGTTCAGATTTTGTGAAACTTGTAAGTATTAGTTGTGCTCTGTTTATTCTGTTTGTGACGGTACAGATTAATTACACAACCTATTTTGGACTTTAATGCTTAGTTTATTAGAGAAAATGTTTAAATCATATTATTTTTCCGATAAAATTCACAGATGGCGCTAAAGCATCACTTCGAACAGCTTGAGTTTCGGTAAAATTTGTTTCGACACTAATCCTAAGCCTAAGCTAAAATAAAGGACAATGACCAAACCCTTTTTGATTCGTATGGTTTGATTTACACTAATGCTGTTTTTGAAACATTTTCTTCGCTGTCAAATGTATTACTCTGTTCGGTATTAGAGAGCAGGCAACGTTCTTATCACCACTCTCACTTAACAGGATAGTAATGTTC